TCCAGAAATGTTTTTATTAATGCTGACAATCTATGAATATTCCATACATTTCCATAAATTTATAAAATCTTTTACATAACTGAGGGACAATGTACTTGCTTCCTTAAATACCCATTTAATCTGTACTTCCTGGCTACACCACTCAGCTCTCAAAATGGATTCTAGTAATGATTGTTGCATCCAGAAAATAATACAACTTTTGATGCATCAAAGCCTCCCCAACACATCTATTATTGTACCTGTAGGTACGTTCTGTAAATATCTTTTGTTGGAGCTGTGACTTTGCTCTACATGCCACAGAGTTTCTAAACGTTTTTAGGTAATCTGAATGTTCTAATTTTTGGTGAATTTATTATTCAGTATCTTGACACTATCAATTACTTTATGTCCATTCATTCAGAGATCTGTTTCTTTCTCTTTAACTTTTAGTAGGTGAGAAACAAACAGCTTTGAGAATGGGAACATTTCTTTTTCCTTTTTTCTCCTGAACTTATTGGCATAGCATGGACTCCTTTTCACATCTTTTTTTTTTTTTTTTTGGTGTGTTTCATCCATCAAGAACATTTATAAATTTCCCAAACTTGTAACAGGTCAGGTTGAAATCTGGCCTTCTACCAACAGACTAAAAGACCTAGAATTCATCAAAAGCACGGATACAACAAAATTTCATGGAATAAAAATCTCTAGCTATCACAGGATGGCAGTGACCTCAGCGATCACTCATAAGGGCATCTGTAAAGGTTGAGGGAAGAGTAGAGATATCACTAGCGCTTAACAGGATATTTCAATAGTATTTCAGTTCCAGGAATTTGTGTGCTCCTCTTTTCACTTCATTAGTAATTCAACATGTCTGATTTGCCCACACAATACTTTCAACTTAGTTTACCCATTTGACCTGGAACAAAGTGAAACCACATTTTGCCCAGTTGAAAGGTCTCCTGGCAAGTTGGCTAGCAACAGGCTTGCCAGTCCCAGTTCACTTAGCGAAGAATAAACACATTTCATTTGACAATTACTAGTGTACTGACTCCTTCACTCTGCAGTTTCCTATTTTATGTTCTTGAACCTTTTTTTTGAACTCGTTATTCAACTTTTTACTCGTAGTTCTTGCGTCCTCAACAAGATCTCCAATTCCTTGAGGGTAAAAGTTTCCACGCTCTTCGTGGCCGTGACTAACACAGTTAAATTGAAAGAAGGGGAATCGCATAAAAGTTTACTTGAAGGGCAGGACGGCCACACAGCGGTTTGACGTCTTCCCTCGGTCGGTGAGCGCGGTGGCTTGATACGTACCAATTAAGGAATGAGGCTAAGGCTTCTAACAAGTATCAATTTCACTGTGGTTCCCTAAAATCTGGTCACTTGGGAATGTCCACTGGGACCAGGGAAGCACCGAAGTGACAGGAGGCTCTGCCTGCCCAGCCGCCCTCGGGCCGCGCGGCCGCCGCACCCCGACCACCTGGGGACGGGCTGCGGTCGGGTGAACCGTCCCCGCGCCCGGCGAGCCACACCTGGGCGGTGGCGCCGCAGTGGGGGGCGGGGAGCCGCCGTCCGGGCCCGCGGCGTCCGGCGTCCCCTGGTGCCCTGCGTGCCTAGAGCACCTGCGTACTCGGAGCAGCCCCGCTCCACTAGGTTTCAAAGTGTGCTTCTGGTTGTCACGATGCGCACCGAAACGCTCGCGCCGCGCCCCCGGGGCGCGCGAGGACTCCGCGCCTGGAAACAGGCCCCTCCCAGCCCAGCTGTCGCCGCCGCCTGCGGGCTCCTTTCACTTTCTCACGGCCAAGTCACCAGAGGGGCGCCGCTGCCGCCACCGCCGCCGCGCCGCCGACTCCGCCCCGCGCGCTCCCACCCCGGCTCCGCCCACCCCAACAATTTCTGCCGGTGATTGGCGCGCGCGAGCGGCAGCTCCCGTTCACCTCGCCCACTGGCCAGGACAACCCGTCAGTCCGACGATTGCCCGCCTCTTTCCCCGCCCCCTGAAAAGCCGCCCTTCTATTGGAGGAGCCTGCGGGCTGGAGGCGGGCGGGAGCGCGGGGTCCGCCGCTCTCGGTCAATAGCAGGAACCCGGCACCGGGAGGGAGGGAGGGAGGGAGGCGGTGGGTAGAGGGGCCAGGCGGGCGGGGAGGCAACATCTGGCCGGCGCCGCCGCGTGCGTGCGTGTGCGTCCTCCGCCCCCGCCCCTCCCCCGCGGCCCGTCCCCCGCCCCCCGCCGGTCCGCGCTCGCTCCGAGCTCGCTCCCTCGCTGTGTTTGGCAGGCTGCGGCCGCCGCTGGGCTGCTGCCATGGGGAGCCGTTGAGAGTGGGGCCCTCTGCGCTCCGCCGCGCTCCTCCGGCTGCCAGCGGGGTGGGCGTGCGGGGCAGGGAGCGGGCGACGGGGCCGGGGGGCGGGGGGGCCGGGAGGGAGGGGGGCCGCAGGAGGAGGAAGCCCACCAAGTCCGGCGGCGGCAGCGGCGGCGGCGGCGGCGGCCGGGAGGCGGAGGCGGAGGAGGAGGAGGAGGCGGAGGACGCGGCGGCGGGGACGCGGTGACTTAGGGCCGCTCCGTGTGAGTCCCGGCGCCGGCCCGGCCGACCCGCGCCCTCCGCGCCGGCCCGCGGGCGGGGGCGCCAGCTGCGCGGCGGCCGGGGGCTAGGGCGGCGGAGGCGCCCCCGAGCGGAGTTAGTTGGCGGGGGCGGGGGCGCAGCTGCGGGAGGCCGCGCGCCGGGCCGCCGCAGCTGCGGGTCGCGTTGCGGGCTCGGCGCGGCGCCCCGGCCGGCGCAGCTGCGGCGGGCGGCCGGTCGGTGCAGCTGCGGCGCCTCGGAGCGGGGGGCGCGCGGGGGGAGGGGGCCTGGGCGCCGCAGCTGCACCGGGACGCTGCGCTCGGGGCCGGTGCAGCGCGCGGGCGGGGCCGGGCGCGGGCCGCCACCCGGCCGTTTCTTTCGACTTTTCTTTTGTTGCCGTGACCCGGCTCTGCGCTCGCGGTAGTGCCGAAGGTGTTTTCCTGCTGCACCGGCTCTACGCCCGCCGCCTCCTTCCCTGTGGTTTAACCTTCCTCTTTCCCGTGCGTTTTGTGCACAGCCAGCTACGTTAAGATTTGCATCCCCACCCCTCCGCACCCTCGCCCCCACCTCCCCGAAAACCGGAACCCCCGGCCCACGGAACCTCCAGGTCCCGGCGCTGCTTGGGACTCACACGCCGCCGCCCGCCGCGCCGCGGCCAGTGCGGACTCGAAGTCCGATCGATGAGGACGGACTAGGGTTGGCAGGGCGTCGGTGCTGTGGCCGAGGGAAATTTATTTCCGAAGTAGGCACTCGTGGTGGTGGTATTCGTCGCGAAGTTAGAGAAAGTTAGGTTTGTACTTAAGAGAAGCGAGGAGGACAGGATGGGGCCGTGGGTCTCTAATGAGAACAGAGTGCTTGTTACCAGGGCTGCGACCTATGCCCAGGCCCCGGCTCCTCTCCTGCACCTCACCCTCCCGAGAGTCTGTGGAGATGCATGTGACATTCACAGATGTCGCAGCACCTTGCCGAACACCGGTCACCTTGCCCGGGTTGCGTTACAATTTAATCAGCCCTTGGGGAAGACCCAAAAATCTGGCTAGAAAGTTCCCAAACTTACTAAACCTGGCTTCCCACCACCCCCTTTCCCTCTGAAAGGTTTTCTTGTGATCGTGAACATTACAGAGTGACCCAAAAAAAGATGGTTACGGGACACAGATCAAGGGGAAGACAGAGTTCTGCTTTTTCTGAGCAGAAAGTCATTTGTGCAGGGCAGCATTCATTTTAAGTGGCGGTAGCAGGTTGTGTCAGTTCATTAACTGTCTCACTGAACTGAAGGCGCACTTTCCTGGATTTCAGAAAGTGCAGTTTCAGCTTGTTGATACTGAGAATTGAAATTTGCATTAACGGGCAGTGTGAGAAATTTTACTGAGAAGGTAGTTAAATAAGAATGAAATAATAAGGTGAACCAGGCTGAAGTAATAGTTTGGAACGGTCTTGAAACATTCTAAGACATGTATACCATTATCTCAGGAGAAAAAAAAATGAAAGTACTCTAATAATGTTGAAATGGGACTGGAGATGTGGAATGGGTTGGTTTAAAAATACCCTAAGCTGCCTTTGAAACTAAACGTTGGAGTTGAATAAAAGTGAATCTGGATTTCCTGAATAGCACCGTGGCTTGAGTGTGCTGTCAGTATGTAAGCCAGTCCACCAACTTCAGACAGAAGTGTTGCTATTCCATAAATACAGTAGAACTCCATATGCTGAGTTTTTCAATTTCTTCTGTTAGAAAGTTTGGGAAAAAAGGGAGACTTTGAAGTATTTTGTTTATACTAACAGAAGAGAAAAGTTCTCCTAAGAAAAAGCTGGTGGCAGGAGTGTAGAGGAGTAGCATATGGCATTAAAAGGAGCACAGCTGGAGGTAGCATTTCCATCTGAACATGATGTCAGAGCAGCTGACAGCCTGCCATCCCTCAGCCTTTTATTCTAACACACAGACAGGGAGTTAGTGTGTGCGGATCTGCGGTGGAGAAGGTGTCTCATTCCTCTCTAACATCTCCACTTTGCATCTGTCTCTCTTAGTCTGCTTTTTTTCCACCGATGTAACAGACCTGGAGCCAGCAAGACTCAGAGGAAAGGACTTAATCAGGTTTATGTGTCCTAAAGGTAGGAGTAGCAAGAGATTAGATTGAGCATATTTCTGTTTTGGTGTTTTGTTTATTTAATTTTAAAAAATCACATTACTTTTTTAACCCAGTTTAGGAATAATATATGAAATTGAGTATTAAATGAACATCTTACTGGAGTTCAAAGTCTTGGGTTTTTTTAGTTTTAATTTACCTATCCCTTTTGCTTGAGCAAGTAAATAATACACAGAAAAATTTCAAGTTTTGAAATGTTAAGCAAGGCTTTGAACTATTGGTTTTTGAGATCACTTCGGATTAAAATGCTTTTTGTTGTTCACTGCTTTTTAGATTCCTTTTGCTTTGGGGTGGGGGGTGGGGATGGGAGGGAGAAATAGTAAACTGGAATCCAGCATTCAAAACTTATATGAGAAGATTATTCAAGTTAAGAAGCTAGATTGTTGTGTAATTAATTCCACTGTGAAACTTTATTCTTCAAAACATTCAGCACTACTGAAACATACAGCTGTAGTGCTTTTGAAACCGAAGGTTTTTTTCAAAAGAAGAAAAAAAACTTTTGTCCCCAGGAGAATAGTTTGACTGGTTTCCTCATTTCTCTTTCAAATATATGTTTAAGAGATCTTTTATTTCAGCATAACAATAATTATTTGCAGGAGTTTTTGTGTTAGTGACTAATTTAGAACTTGTAGATTTGAGCCGCCTGAATTGGCCAGACAGCTGTAATGGCAGTCCTCTATTCTTAATCTCTTTATCTGGGCAGCAGCTGCCATATGGCCACAGTCAGCTGGATCAGATGTTTATAAGCTTCCTTCTTCGTCCCTCTCTGTCCTCTCAGCCTCCTAATTTGATCACGGCTACCTTGTGAGCTGCCCTCCAATCTTTATTTTTAGACCTCTCAGGATTAGGATTGATGTTAGCTGTGGGGCACTTAAAGTGATTGTATTGTAAATCTTGGTTTATTCTAGCAGTGGCATCTTGCTTTATTCTAGCAATGTATTTGGGATTAGGGTGAAAGTTTCAGTCCATCTTGGGCAAAGTAGAAAAAGTAGGTAAGTAATTCTGAGTATTTATGTATCCATTCCCAAAAAGCACTTTCTGAGACGCTTGGTGTGGCACCTTCCTTGCTTCTGGTTACAGGAAAGGGGAAGTCGGGTTTTCATTATTTTTAAGGAGTTGAATTTTGCAGTTGAATTCTGACCCTTTGTACATCTTCACCTTTCCTCTCCCACCACTAGACGCTCCTTCCCCAGAAAACAAGGGCGACAATGCAATTGGGAGAATAGAAGCTAGTGGGAAAACAAAATATATCAAGTTATGTTGAAACAAAGTATATTCTGTTGAATGAGGTAAGGCAGAGTCAGAAGGAAAAAAAAAGTTTTTCTTTTTCTAGCAAGGCTTTTGGGGTTGGTGAACCGTAAAGCTTTTAAGTTTCATCTGAACATAACATGCCTTTATTTAAAAGTTTGAATTAATTTTAATATGGAACTCATTTTGCCTTGCCATTGATCAAAGTTTAGATGAGAATTTTCAGAGTTAAATAAAACCCTTTTGTTTCCTAATATCCTAGATATACAGATTTTAGAAAGAAATGTAACCATTTTTTTTCTCAATTCATTGAAAAAAATTTGGATTTGTTCATAGTAAAGATGATCTTTTCCATCTGTTGGTGTCGTTCTTTCTGATCTCGTACATGTGTGCTGTACCTGCAGATCTTAAGGCATTAACATCTGTTTTTATACACAGGGCCTTTGTTGTTGTTAACACTCTGACTTTAAAAGTAAGTTGTTTGCTAATTTCTGGACTAATTATGCAGTTTTCTTTTTTTTTTCTTGATTCAGCCAAATGTGTGTTTAAATTGTGCTTTCTAAGTGCAGTCGAGTACCAAAAGTAATAGTATAAAAAGGGTGGCTGAACAAGTTTTATGAAATCTCCCAGACTGTGTTTGGGACTTTTCTTTGTTCCTTATAGGAGTTGTTCCCATTGAAATTAAAGCTGTTCTGTAGGGTTTGCAGGACATAATTTGGTGGGTAGAGTTGATTTCTCCTTCTGAAAGAGATCTTAAATTCTTGCCAGTTTAGAGACTGTTCTGAAATTAAGGCTTTTAAAAACTTGACCGAAAAAGTTCAAGGCACATGGAGATGCATCAGAGTCTGTTTGGCTGGCATAAGGAAGTTTGGAAGGTGTACATCATTGTTTTCGCGTTTAGGTTTCGTGCGTGTGATCTGGTAGCCTTTGGGTCATAATCCTGATTAAAATTCAGGGACGTGTACTTCGGCGGCCCAAGCTGATTGTTTTTTTTTTAAGTGGGGACCAGAGTGTTGCAAAGTTGTTCCTGACCAGGCTTTCATGAGAAATTTCTCTCTTCCCAGGTTATGAAGACAGTATGGAGTTTCCAGACCACAGCAGACATTTGCTGCAATGTCTGAGCGAGCAGAGACATCAGGGTTTTCTTTGTGACTGCACTGTTCTGGTGGGAGATGCCCAGTTCCGAGCGCACCGAGCTGTACTGGCTTCATGCAGCATGTATTTCCACCTCTTTTACAAGGACCAGCTGGACAAAAGAGACATTGTTCATCTGAACAGCGACATTGTTACAGCCCCAGCTTTCGCTCTCCTGCTTGAATTCATGTATGAAGGGAAACTCCAGTTCAAAGACTTGCCCATTGAAGACGTGCTAGCAGCTGCCAGTTATCTCCACATGTATGACATTGTCAAAGTCTGCAAAAAGAAGCTGAAAGAGAAAGCCACCACGGAGGCAGACAGCACCAAGAAGGAGGAAGATGCTTCAAGTTGTTCAGACAAAGTCGAGAGCCTCTCGGATGGCAGCAGCCACATGGCCGGCGATTTGCCCAGTGATGAGGATGAAGGAGAAGATGAAAAATTGAACATCTTGCCCAGCAAAAGGGACTTGGCTGCCGAGCCTGGGAACATGTGGATGCGATTGCCCTCAGACTCCACAGGCCTCCCCCAGGCCGGCGGAGAGGCTGAGCCACACGCCACGGCAGCTGGAAAAACAGTAGCCAGCCCCTGCAGCTCCACAGAGTCTTTGTCCCAGAGGTCTGTCACCTCCGTGAGGGATTCAGCAGATGCTGACTGTGTGCTGGACCTGTCTGTCAAGTCCAGCCTTTCAGGAGTTGAAAATCTGAACAGCTCTTATTTCTCTTCACAGGACGTGCTGAGAAGCAACCTGGTGCAGGTGAAGGTGGAGAAAGAAGCGTCCTGTGATGAGAGTGATGTTGGCACTAATGAGTATGACATGGAACATAGCGCTGTGAAAGAGAGTGCGAGCGCTAATAGCAGGGTACAGTATGAGCCGGCCCATCTGGCTCCGCTGAGGGAGGACTCGGTCCTGAGGGAGCTCGAGCGGGAGGACAAAGCCAGTGATGATGAGATGATGAGCCCGGAGACCGAGCGCGTGCCGGTGGAGGGCGGCATGGAGAGCAGCCTGCTGCCCTACGTCTCCAACATCCTGAGCCCGGCCGGCCAGATCTTCATGTGCCCGCTGTGCAACAAGGTCTTCCCCAGCCCGCACATCCTGCAGATCCACCTGAGCACGCACTTCCGTGAGCAGGACGGCCTGCGCAGCAAGCCTGCCGCCGACGTCAACGTGCCCACCTGCTCGCTGTGCGGCAAGACTTTCTCTTGCATGTACACACTCAAGCGCCACGAGAGGACTCACTCGGGCGAGAAGCCCTACACGTGTACCCAGTGCGGCAAGAGCTTCCAGTACTCGCACAACCTGAGCCGCCATGCCGTGGTGCACACACGCGAGAAGCCACACGCCTGCAAGTGGTGCGAGCGCAGGTTCACGCAGTCCGGGGACCTGTACAGGCACATCCGCAAGTTCCACTGTGAGCTGGTGAGCTCCTTGTCTGTCAAAAGCGAAGCGCTGAGCTTGCCCACTGTCAGAGACTGGACCTTAGAAGATAGCTCTCAAGAACTTTGGAAATAATTTTATAAATAATATATATATACACATATATATACATAGATCTCTATATAGTCGTGGTACGGTCTAAAAGCAGTCTTGTTTCCTGGAACTCAAAAGTTGGGGTATTAACTTGTTTTTGCACTTTAGAGTAGCATGAGAATCTCACTAATTTAGCATTCTGAGAACAGAAACTTTAGAGCAAGTCAGAGAATAGAGAGGTGTTTTTCTTTCCAGGGGTTAGGGGTTAGTGGAAGTAAGCCAGTAAGAACCTTTGAAACAAATCGTCCTATCACAAAATGCTTCCATAGGGCTTAATTCTGTCGACACTGCATTGTCTTGAGCGCTCTTTTCTTTCTCCTTTCTTTGTTTTTTTAAAGTAGAAATACCCTCCAGTTTTATTAGCCTCTTTATATGTCTCAAATTGCATGAATCCTTTCTGGCTGTTGGAAACCTGAATGCTTTTAGACCCAAATGGAAAATTTCTGAAATGCTGGATTATCTATTTTTAAACAAGCAGTTGACTTAAAAACTTTCTGTGGCAACTTCTGGTTTTCTGACGGTTCCCAATGAGAGAAGCTCTGCAAGTACACTGGGGTCACTGGGACGCTGTCTTTGTGAAGGTTTGCTTGGGATGAAAAAGGATATTGCAGCTTCAGCAGTGTTGAACTGTGTGTTAAAAAATGTGAATTACTGTTACTGTATACTGTAATTGATTACATGGGCTGGGGGGGTGTCAAAGAACTTGACAGGTTGTGTTGATGCTCTTAGTTGAGTCTTGAAAAGTAAATATTAACGCTACAGAAATGCATGAGTTTCAATATATTTTTTGTCTTTGTTTGCCTTGTATAACTTTAACAAGTGAGTTTAAAATTATTTAATTTCCTTAGAAAAATAGCACCATTTGGGGAAAAACTGGTGTTATGAAGAACATAAATGCACTGTTTTTATTTTTATTTTATATAATTTAAATTGACTTTCCCACTGTCTTTAAGTTGAAACTGTTAAGCTGAATAAAAACTTAAGCTGCAAATTGATAACTTCGCTACATAACAAGGAAAATATAAATGTTTACAAACGGCTTAAAGATTTGCATGTGCAGTGTGCATTCATAACAAACTTCTAATTGCACAAAACCCATGCCAGCTCAAAGTTTAGGTGTACACATTTACCCAGTTGAGCATTTTTAGAATAACTACTGCACAAATTGACAATAGGTCATTCTTTCTTTTTTTTGCTCCCCTTTTCTTTTTTCCCCTTCTCTTCCTAACCCTCCCTCCCCGCCTCCAACACCCATCCCCCCCAACTCATGAAAAGATTCTATGGACTGAAAAAGCCCCAGGCTGAAAGGACTGGATGCCTTGATTGACATGGGGAAGGGGGTTAGTGGACTATGTGTATCACGGCAGCAGAGGCTGCAGCCCTACGTGTGGTTTAATGACCGGCACCAGGGCAAAAGCATTTTGCACAGTGTTTGTTTTCCTGTCTTGCACTTACAAATAAGGTCTATGGGAGTAGCATGGAAAACGTTTGCTGTTTTTCCCTTTTTTTTTTTTAATTGCTTTTGTTTAAAATTTGATCGCCTTAACTACTGTAAACATAGCCTATTTTTGTGCTTAAGATACTGAATGGAAAACTCCATTGTGTGTTGCTGGACTGTTTTGGAAATATTTGGTCAAATGTGTGTTAATTTGGCTGTAATGGCATTTAAAGCAAACAAACAAACAAAAAAAAAGCTGTGAAAATGGCCTTGGAGCATTATCTTTAGTTACTTGAAAAGTTTCTAGTTTTTTTTTTAAATACAGTTTATGTTAAAATAATTTTTATTAATTTAGAGAAGACAATCAATGTCTGAGAAAATGGACTTTCTTTTGGATTTTCTTTTTGTGGTCATTGTGAGTGGTTGCTTTTTCCTTTTATTAGTTTCACATTCTTCCTTCGTTCTAAAACTTAGACTGACATCTAGCTTTGACAATCATAGTATGTTTTATTTTCCTGAGGGGGGAATAACTTATAATGCTGTTTAGTTTTGTACTATTGGTGTGTTGGTGAATTTTTAAACTGTGTGCTAACTGCAATAAATTATATGAACTGAGAATTTCTTGAGTTTTAATTGTGATTATGTACTCTATATATCCTAAATATGTATCCTACATGGCATCTTTCATATTATAGTCAAAGGTTATGAAGTTAGTACACAATACCTTAGACACTCAAAGGGAAATGTGCAAAAATTTTGCTTCTAGTCATTTAAGAAGAAACCAAATGCACATTTAAAATATGTGACCCATTTTCAACAACCTAGATCAGGAGAGTTAAGGTAATTCCCTGAGAATCTGAGTCCATGAAACTTCCATGAAGTAGCAGCATTGGTTTTTCATGGCACACTGTATGACTACCTAGCCATACACCCGAAATCATTTTCATGGGTAATTTATCCCAAGTTGACTGGTCAAGTCTATTCTTCTGTGTTCTGGTTTAAGTGGAAAATTGAAGGAGACCGGATGTCTTAATTTGGAAGACTGCTTGGCTAATGACTGGAAATCTAGGCAATCAAATTAGCAGGCATTCGATTATTCAAGATTGACCTCTATACATCCTTGTTGTTGCTGGGAGAACTCAAAAAGTTCCCAGATTTTAATTCTGGAGTTCTAATTTAAGAATAATTGTAATTAAGTATATGTGACCATAAAAGATCCCTGTTCCCTGATATTTATGATCATTTACAACTTCATGATTGTCTTGTTGGGCATGCCAGGGTGGGACACCTTGCTAGTTGACTTAAGCAATTGATGGAACACTCACATGTGCAGGACACTTAACTGTAGAGGAGTTGTCACCCACAGTCCCGACTGTGAGCCGGGCCAGCATGAACATACAGAGAGTTGTAGAGCTTGAAATCTGTAATTGCTCATAACTTCCATCCTTAAAGGTACATTTGAAAACAGTTTCACATTACTACTGTCAAAATACATTTATACTAAATGGCCTATTGTAAGGTTAGTATTCTTAACTTCTGTAGAAAAAGTGGGATTTAAAGTCTGAAGCTTAAAAATGTGTCATTTGTGAGCTTTCTGATAGCTTTGGATGAGAATCCAAGATTTCATCATGGCGCACAACAATTTACAATTTGGAATCCTGTATTTTTCTTTTTGTTGTTGAAACAGGATTTCTATTACATGCAATTCACTTGGCATTAACTACTTAAGCATTGTTTCAGAAGAAAGGGGAATGTGCATTTGAGCTCCATAAAATAATTTCTTGAGCAATTATAAGCTCATAAAAAAAGAACAGGGCAGGGGGGAGAGGAGGAAAATTTTATATTTTCAGTTTCTGTCAACTGGTCACAGTACCTCAAAAGATTTCTGAAGATGCTGAGAGCTACAATTTACTTTCACTGACTAACAACTAATCTTAAATGGGGAGTACTGACAAACTTAATTGGATATACTTACAAAAGCAGTATTTTGACATGTAATATGGAACAAATAATTTCTTAAAACATTCCTTGCAAAGCTAGAACAGGATATTAATTACACAAATCACTACATTTGATAAGTAATCGGTCATTTATTCACTACATTTTTTAAAAGGAAGTTAATTTGTGATGTAACGTTGGAAACCATGCAAATTGATCCCCCTTTGATATCTGGCTGATACCTAATAGATTTTAAATACGTGATTTCACTTGCTTTTGGTATCTTCTTTTTTTAAAAATAATCGATTGTGCCCTAGATTCCTGTGGGCCCAGCATTGTGTGCTAGTTGTGCCCTACGGAATGTCCAAGAAGTATAAAATGTTAAGGTCAGTGGTTTTGGATTTTCTTTCTAGTAAATTATGTTGTCACATGAATAGGTGACTGGAGTTTTTCTTTAAGAGACTTGCCATGATTATCTACAAACAGGTTATTGGAAGATTAGAAAAAGGTGAACACTATTATTCAAGTTATATAATAGCACACACTAAAATGGCTGAAATACTCATTTTCCAAGTAAATCTTTTGAACTATCATCAAAGAAAACATTTGGCTTTTTACCCAAGAAGTAACACTACTTTAAAAAATGCTTGACTCTCCCAAGTTTTATCAATGAAACACAAAGTACATAAAAACTAGACTTTAAAAATCCATTAAAGATAATAAAGTCTAAAGATCTCCAAATTTCCTATGTCGTAGGACTACATTTTACTCTGAAACACTTGAAACATTCTTTGATTTCTGATATAACGAGGGAAACTTTTACATACTCCTGCATAGAAAACTCAGATAATTCTGGATTTAATTTGTAGATATTGACCCATATTTTGTCATAATTGTTTGATTAGAATGTTTGAAATTGCTGGTAAGGTACAATGAATTGTGTATGTATAAATTTTGAAATCCAGGACAGAAGAGTTCAATGGTTGTCATTCAAGTCATTTGACATTAAAATGCTAGAGATAATTGCCCATTTTGAAAAATAAAACAATAGTTCTATTTTTTTAAAGCAAATAGCTGTTAGGAGTTGCATTTTGGCTGTAGTCCAAATTTATTAAGCTGACAGAATTTTGTCCCTTATGTTAAATTTTTTTTTACCTTTTGCCTCCAGAATATGGCAAAACAATCCTTGTATGCAATCCTTTGGTCTGAAATGTACAGCCACTTATCTTTTGACCTTAAGTTTGATTTAGTTACATTCAATGTTTCTAGCCTTCCCACTCCTTAGATTTTCTTAATATCATAAAATGATAGCTAAAGCAGTGAAGTCTTACTGATGTCACTGGAGGTTTTTAGAGATACTAATTTATTTTCAGAGACATTTTAGAGATTAAACTTTTAGTATTTTTGCAAACTGACCCCTTAAAAGTCTTTACTAGTTAATTTTTGTAATTTCTTGTGAAAGAAGCTGAACTCTTCAAATTTAAAACATTGTAACCAGAAAGGTAAGGTCATAAAAATAACACAGTAGCTTGAAGTTTTTCTTTGAAGCTCAAATACCACATCAGATCTGCTTACTCTGAATGGGTGACTTAGTTATCCAGATAACTCAGGCTCATAGAATAGCTTTTTCCTAAAGTATTCAAACAATTGAAAGAAATCAGATTTTTTTTTTAAGAAGGATGAATTATCCAGTTAACTTGCCTGATTCTATTCTAACATTTACTAATTTATTCTTAGTCAATCCCTAGGTTTATGTGAGTGTGGTACTTTCCTTGGGCTGAAGGTTAGTTTACAAAGCAATTCTTTCAAAACTAAAATTTTTCTTGAATTTTCAGGCACTTACCCACCTTTTCTAATCTTCCTTAGGAACAGGCTTGAGTTAAAGCTTGCATTTTGCTATAGGAGGCATTCTCTCTAGTTTGGCAGGAGGAGTAAAAACCTAATTTGGCTTTAAAGTGTAGCACATTAGTAACAGTTTTAGTGAGGATATTTAGAGTGGCTTTGAGAGGCCGTGACACCCATAGAGAGTCCATTCACGGAAATGACTTATTTAAAGTTTGTTATTATCTCTGTAGTTAATCATTAAATCAAATTGTTTTAATAACGTCAGTGTGCATGCTTAATATGACTACATAGGAATTTTTAAAAGTCACATTGGCCTAAATATTGAAGTTTATAAAAAGTATATGTATGGTTAATATGAAATGGTATGTGGAAAAATGTATTTGAATATTAGTAAACATTTGAAAGATAGATGAAATGTTGTTTCAAAACATAATGCATATATAATGACACTGAACTTGAGAGAATAAGCATAACCTTATTTATGGTGCTCTGCCAAACCAAAGCTAGCTTTTGTTGTGTGACAGAGCTTAAAAGAATGTATCTTAACCACATATGATTTAAAAATATATGCTAGTTAAAACGATTTGTAAATAAGGACAGATTCATTTCATTAAAAATCATACTTAATGCTGTGTGCACTTCAACTTTGAGTTATGAAAGACCCTGACGTGTTTGTATGTCTAATGCTCTGAAATGATCTTTGATCAAAGTAAGGACATTAAGGTTTTTCATCTGAATCTTTAAAATTTGTTTTAAAAGCAGGCTAAAGCATACATATACCTTTTCTGTGGACCATTTCTTTGGAACTGTATGGTGTAAGTGAGCTGTTCGGCCTCATTGACAAACAGCTGTTTGGTAATGCTTACTAAACACACATAGTGCTGCCCAAGGATATCTGTTTGGACAATTTTTAGAAAAGAACAATGGTACAAAAATAGGTAATTAAAACATTTAAGAAAAATACTTATTATTTGTGAGCCATAGCCATAGAAGTTAGTGGTATCTACTTGTATTTAGTGTAAAAACCCTACTTCTAATTTATAACTGTTCTGTCACTTAAAGTCCTCACTGAATACAAGAAATCTGAGCATAGAACCATATTCCAAGAAAATCCAATTTATAAAGTTATTTCTATAACTAACTGCCTTTGAGAAAGAGGGTCTCTGAAGGATGTGGCAGAAGGGAAAAATATTACATGTTTGTATTCAAAGTATGGACATTATATACTAGCCCTGAGTGTAAAATTTGTTTAGGATCTCTTCAGCATCCCCAAGATTTTTTAACCAAATAAACTGAAAGAAACTGAAGGCTGGCAAATGGAATATTCCTTCAGGTTCTTACTTTTGCTGAGACTGAAAGTAAGATTCATATTTTATACTCTGCTGTTTCTCTCAGTGTCCTTTTCTTAATTCTAGGAGGGTAAATTCTATGCATTGAGTGATTTTGATGCTATTGCACGACTGGATTTTCCAACCAAGTTGTTTTCTGTGTCTGGATTTTTACCGTTTTGGAAAAACTGGAACAGATTTGAAATGTAAACTACACTGGAAATTGGCCTTATGTACCAGTCTGCATCAACGAACTGCATATACCAAGTGGGAGTGGGAAGAGGGAGCAGAGCATGTGGACCAAGGCGCTAAGGCATTTATTTCCAAAGTCTTATTATAATAAACCACATCAAACTGGATGAAAACCTTAGGTGAAGAAAAAAAAATTAGAGGATCTGCTGGGGCACAATGAAGTTTTGTTTTTCATACTAAGTGCGAAGTCTAGAAAATGTGGTGATTTCTCACATTCTATTTATATGTTATTTTACTTGAGGGATGCCTCAAAGC